AAAAGATCACACTGAAAGGATTTTATTTTTCCCAAATTATCTCAGGTCATTATTAAAATTACTACATTGACTTTGATTTCCTTTTTTCTTTTCTCAATCTCTCTCTCTTTTTTTTTTTGTAATTCTCCACCTGTGACTGGATAAGTGATTATGAAGCTAAAAAAGAGAAAAAAGACATTTCCACATTGAAACAGTTCACAGATGTTAAATAACCATAGAAAATGACTACTGGGCAAACAATGAGTGATACTGGATAAGAGAAATATTGCTTTTACTAATTTTATTACCCTTGTACCTCCTGGGGTCATGGGAGGCTTGTAAAAAAAAATTGTGGGCAGATAAAAGTCTAGTATTTATTTGTGAGGCTACTTTAAGTGCTTTTCAAGATTCTTCCTCACCTTATTTTTTGACACATAAAAATAAGTAAGTGAAAGTAATGTTAGGAATGCTAAAACAATCATTTGATAAGAGGTTAAGAGAATTTTTTTTCTGACATTCATGTCTTCCACTCTCACCTTCCCCAGACCCCAAAAACCCAGGAATGAAATTTTAGTGTATAAGTGAAAGCATACAGTATTTTAATATTTCAGTTATATACTTTCAAAAAGTAAGTCTTAATTATGAATTCCAGTAATTTACTGGGTACCTACTATGTACCATATATTGCAGGAGTGGCCAAGGATAACCTAAGAAGCATATTAAACAGGATCCTATTTCTAACAACTAAGAATATTTGAAAACACCGATTTTTTTTTTTGCTCATACATATTTCTGAAGATTTTATATGCAATGTTTTTTGACAAATCCTTTTAGCTACTGAAAAAAATTATAGTTTGCCAGTATTCAAGCATATTATTTCAGATTATTTCTCGCAGCAAGCATTAGTTAAGTAATTTAAATGTGTTAACATTTTTAAGTTCAGTAAAAACAGGGCCTGGCAAATGTAATACAAGTGTTCATTCAATACTAAATAAAATATCTACAACGTGCCAAGAATTTGCTCTTTCTCACTTTATCAAAGACAACTATAACTCTTATAAATATCCTTTGCTGAACTGCAAAAGCTATAAACATAATATGGACATGTGTATCATTTGTTGTAACAAATCTTTGAGTCAAAACTGACAAAATCCCAACATCTCCAAGATTTCATCTGGCCCAAGTGGGATATATTTGTTTTAAGATCAGTAACCAATATTTAAAAACAAAACAAAACAAACAAACAAAAAACCAGGAGATGTCACAGAGTAATTCAAAGTTCTGTCTTCTATGGCACAGAAACCTCAATTTTCTTATTTAAGATTTTCACTATAGTTCCTTCTGCCTGGTGCAGACTGAAATTTGGGTTTAGAGACCAGGACATGATTTAAATAAGAGTTACAGAACCAAATTTACCAATGTCCTGTACTCCAAATTATTTCCACCTCTAAGAAGACCACCATTGTTAAGGTTCTGCTATTTCTCTAATTTGTACAAAAGACTGCTTTGAAGTTTTCTCTTTATATATATTTTAATAGGCAAGAAATTTTACATAATCTGGCAAATGATAATAAGTATGATACAGAAATAATTGGTAAGATATTAAAGTTATTTTGTGGGTTTTTGGCTGAGTTTGAACTCAGGACCTTGTACTTATTAGGGAGGTACTCTACCACCTGAGCCATACCTAAAACCCTTTTTTGCTTTAGCTTTTTTTCACGTAGAGTCACTTGTGTTTATGCGCTGCTCAGCCTCAAAACACTATCCTCCCACTGATAACTCCTCTTGTGTAGCTGGAATTACAGGCTTGCTCCACCACTGCCCAGCTTGTTTTGATGAGATGGTGGTCTCACTAACTTCCCCTGTGCTGGCCTTTAAACTCAATTTTCCTGATCTCTGCCTCTTGAGTGCTGAGATTCCAGGTGTGAGCCATGGTACCCAGCACCATGGTTATTCTTAAAAGGTTGAAAAAGATCTGTTAAGTCTTAAGCTACTTAATTCATAAGAAATCTAAATCAGCATAGAAATCCATATATTTTAAGACAGAGTATGAAATTTTTCATAGCTTCCTTATAGAATCAACCTATGCCAGTGTTTACAAATCTTCGTCATGAGATTCTAAAAGACAGCTCGATAGTAGATTCCTAAGCAATCTTTACTTCATATGCCATTAAACCACATATGTTTAAAGACAGAGTTTATCTCTTGACCTTCACTTTTTTTTTTGGTGGGTCTGGGGTTTAAACTGAGGGCTTAACATTTGCAAAGCCAAACCTCTAGTCCATTTTTGTTCTGGTTATTTTGGAGATAGAGTCTTGTGAACTATTTCCCCTGGGCTGGCCTCAAACTGTGACCCTACCAATCTCAAGCCACTCAAGTAGCTAGGATTATAAGCAAGAGCCACTGGTGCTCAGCTTTGGCCTTCACCTTCTTAAAGAATTAGTGTTTCCATCAGTTTGGTTTTTTTTTAATTGAACTAGTATGTATTAGGTGCCTTCCAAAACGAGCACTTCAGCTCACACTGAACAACTCACAGTTCATATAATCATCACAACTCCAGGGATAATAATAACTGCCTCTATTTCCAGAATAAGAATCAGATAATGGAACTAGCTCAAGATTACTTATCCGGCCCTTCTGAGTGAGGATTCCACTCCATGTTTTTTGGTTTTTTGGAGGGTGTTTTTGGGGTTTTTTTTCTACCATGCAGTCTGACTTTACATCTGCTTGTAGAACTTCACACCTTCAGAGTTTGGCAAAAAAGACTGCTAGACAGTCATAAATATGAATTCCAGTCCAAGTGATTCTACCATTTTCTGGGTGACCTTCACATCAGCTGAAAAAGTGGAGAATGCCAAAATGACATCTACCCTTCTTTAAAATATGTTATGCCAATGTCGTTATTAAACTCACTGACCCAAAAGCAAAAATGACAAGAGAGCCAAAATAAAAGAGCAACCATCAGAGGAAGGGTCTTTCTGTCCCCACTACTGCCATTACTGCTGCTTGGCCTCCAGTGGTTGCCAAATCTGGGCAAGTATCCAGAAACATCTCAGAACACTGGAACTTCTTAGTTCTTTCCCATAACATGGGGGACTTCCCACTGTAGGGAGTTCCTCTGCTAGCAGCATTTCTCATTGTTCATAAGCAGCAGCTACATGAATATGGCTGCCAGATAAAATACAGAATTCTCAGATAAATTTTAATTTCACATAAAGGATTTTCTAAATATATCCCAATAATTGTCTAGAAGCCTGTTAGAGTAAGGAGCTGTACACAATAAAGAGTTCTGCCCTTGAAAATATGCTTAGAGAACTGAAAATTCCTCAGAAGCAAACTTTAAAAGATCCGAAAAGCGTGTCCTAAATTAACATATCAAAATAATGAAACAGTGAAATGGAAATTCTGTATGAGAAACCACAATACTTCATAGGCTATTGAGACTCTAAAAGCTAAGGAGCTTTTATTCTCAAACAGATTGTAACTTCCATAAAGACAAGGACCATGAATTATATTTAATTTAATTTACATTTCCAGTAAAACAAGAAACTTTGTTATTGTTCATGACATCGTTTTTTGGAAAAAAAATTATCTTTCTAAATCTCCTTGAAGGAATTAAAAATTGATTTCAAATTAAGAGTTTGACTTTCAAAACCATATATTGTTTTCAAGTTTCAAACTCTACCCACAATTTCCCTCAAAGTTCCAGCATTTAATTGAAATCACAAAAGAACTTCATTATGCCCTTGATACTTGAGTTCTAAGTGAAAAGGTTATGTTTCCCACAGCAGGCAAAAGCACAGCAGTGATTACTCTGCCTACTAAGTGGAGGGGAAAAAATGGCAATTTAAAACATAAATCTTTGATTTCTATTTCCCTCAATTTTTTTCTTTAATTTCCTTGCAATTCAATTTTAAGTGAAATCAGGAGCTGAGGAACAAAGAGTAGTCAAAAGTAGCAAAAACTTGACAGCATAATCATAGCACAAGTCCAAAACCAGAATCCTTTGCTGTTGAGCTTGGTAGCTTCACCTGTACTCCTAGGTATTCAGGTAGCTGAGTTAGGAGAATCAGCCATGAGTTCAGTAACAGCCTGAGCAACATAGCAAGACCCCATATCAAAAAGAATTTGATTTTTTTTTTTTTTTGCTTGTGTTCAAAAGGAAGGTGGGAACTTGCCAAAATCCTGGCCAAATTTAGTCTTTACCCTTAAGATCAAACCAAAGGAGAGTTTTCTAAGTGAATGAGGATGGGCAGATGGGAAAATAGGCAGTTTCTCAAGATGTTCCTCTCCCCTCAGGTCTCTCTTCAATGTTCTAGCAGAAAACTGCTTAGTCCCTTTTAAGTATTTGGGGATCCTCAAATGCTTCTGTGATCTGGAAGCAGCATTGCTTTCAAAACCACTAAGGGAATTCATAAATATTAAGCCCTGAGGCAAAGGTCTTAATTGGCCTTAGGGCAAAACTTACAATAACCACTCTCTGTTTTGACTTCTATTCTTATACACTGCCGCAAGGGACAGGTGAATATGAGTCATTATTTAAGAATCCGTCTTCCCAGTGTACTACAGAGGAAGGCTGTTCCCAAACTCAGGAAAAGTAATATTAACAAATGACAGAGGACTTCTGCCATGGAGTCTAGCATCTAGCTCTATTATCAGCTGTATTATTTTTATAAATACACATTATAAGCAGTTTATTGGATTTTAGAGAATTTGGCAGAAAGAATGAATACATTAAAACCACTAAATACAGACGCACTTGCTTTGCAAAGCAAAATTATTATTCTACTTCTCAAATCACGAAAATAAGTTAAGAAACTTGAGAAATAAAACAAGCAGTGAACTGAAACCTTGCTCAGTACAGAAAGGTCAAAAAGGACATTTCGACTTACCAAAGATCAAAAAGGAACTTATTTTAAATTCTGCTTCAAGAGGAACAAATTTGCTTTTTAAATGGTGGCAAAGGACCAAGCAAGTAGATTACTCAGTAATCCAATGCTCAAGAGGCAACAATCACTTACTTTGTAAATGGTAGGTAAGATCTGGTTCATTTTCAGCCTGTGAAAGACAAAGACATCATAAATGGCTGAAACCGCGAGAACAGTCACTCCTTGTTCTTTCCACAACATGCTGCATCCTGCACACAGTCCGGTCCCCAGGAACCAGCCCCAAGTCCTGGCTGAGTAGCCTCTTGTGGAACAGTGTTTAATGTAGCAGAGCAAAGAGAGGAGAAAGAAGAGACTGGCCCCAACATCAGCCCGTCCCACGATTCCTGCCACTGCCTCCGTGTGAATGGGATGAGAGGCGAACATCAAGCCAGCCATGAAAGTCCAGTATCCATCACCAAGGAGGATCTTGGAGAAGCTTGTGAAGAGACCAGTGACAGCTGCATGCAACAGGATGTTGACCAGATGGTAGCTCCAGGGATTCAGCCCTCCGATGGCGTGGTTCAGGCGAAAAGAAAGAGTGCAGAGTGGCCGGTAGGACTTGTGACTGCCACTGTGGGTTAGAAGAGTCCCCCAAAAATCATTGTAGAAAATGTGTGTCCATGGAGTTTCTGGGAGAAGGTCCTGATTAGTCTTGATAGCACGGCTAAAAAACAAAATGTTAAAAAAGAGAAAACAAATGTAAAATACAAAAAGGAAAAAAAAAGAAATAATGTAACATTGCTAAGATACTGCCTTCCTCTTCTAGAAGCATTGTTATTTTGTAGCTTTGTGGTGGGATTCCAAGAACAAATGGTTTGAATTCAAATCTTCCTCTTAATGCTACTAACACCACAATTGGGGCTGTGTACTTCTTTTCCTGAAACACTTTTCTCCTTGTTGGAATGCAAAAAATTTTGAGGAATAAATGCTGAGTTTCTGTCAGTGATTTCAGCCTCAGTGTGGCAGCTACCAAACAACTGTCCTGAAAATCGTGTGACACCCAGGCTCCAGGATGACTTGAGGCCTGAGACACTGCATTTTAAGAAGGCTCAGGTGATGCTGGTTTACGGGGAGCTTCTAGAGACAGAATTAGCCCCACCACCATACTACCTAAAAATAAATTTTAGATAGAATATCAAGACCCAGCACCATGCTTCTCACACACACAAGGCACCTGGACCATGGGGAAACAACACAATCTGATTCAGTAATTCTGGAGAAAAGACACATGGTCCACATTTCTAACAGACAATGCTGATGCTGCTGGCCCATTTGGATCACACAGAATGGCAAGGGCCTAGATAGCTGGAGAGACTAGGAAGAACAGCTCTCCACCAACCCAGTGTTTCCCTGCTTTCTTTATTTGTACTTCAGTCTTTCCCAGTTCTAATCTCTCATGGGAGTTGCCATCACCTAGAGAAATCATTATGATACTTCACTCTCTCCTCACTTGAGAGTTAATAGTAACAAATGCTGGATATAACCAGACAACAACAAAAAAAGAACCTACTGTTTGCTGAGTATTTCTCTCTGCCAAACACAGCACTGGCTTTCTTGGCTACATCTCCTTATTTAAACTTTAGAACGACACTGTCGAGACAGATGATATCATCCACATCTCTCACATGAGAATATTATGACTGACAAAGATTGCTTAATAACTGGATCAAAGACATGCAAGTATGGAACAGCAGCATAGAGATTCGTGGCTTGTGTTTTTTCCCTATTCTGGTCTTCTCAAAATGTTACGTACCTGCCACTAGCAGCAAATGAGAGACAGACACAGCCAATAAAAAATGTTAATGGCTGTATTTACTTTAATGTGTGTTTGAAAGAAAAATAATTATTACATCAAATATGGATTTATAAATGTTTGCTCAGAATAAAGCTATCAAAACTAAAAAGTCAATGTAAAGACAAACATTAAAGAGATAACAGTACTGGTGTGTGTGAATGGGTACAAATGTTGAAGATACCATGCAAAAGATAGTTTTTAAGATCTCCCACCTATGCTATTATATACAGTTCCTAGTCAACAGGATGGAGTACTTACCTTTAGTGCACCTATCTCTGGATTTACAGGACAAAAAAGAGACACCTGGGGAATGTAGACTAGTACAACCACTCTGGAAAAATATTTGGAGGCTACTTAAAAAGCTAGACATTGATCTACCATTTGATCCAGCAATACCACTCTTGGGGATATACCCAAAAGACTGTGACACAGGTTACTCCAGAGGCACCAGCACACCCATGTTTATTGCGGCACTATTCACAATAGCCAAGTTATGGAAACAGCCAAGATGCCCCACCACTGACGAATGGATCAAGAAAATGTGGTATCTATACACAATGGAATTTTATGCAGCCATGAAGAAGAATGAAATTTTATCATTCACTGGTAAATGGATGGAATTGGAGAACATCATTCTGAGTGAGGTTAGCCTGGCCCAAAAGACCAAAAATCGTATGTTCTCCCTCATATGTGGACATTAGATCAAGGGCAAACACAACAATGGGATTGGACTTTGAGCACATGATAAAAGCGAGAGCACACAAGGAAGGGGTGAGGATAGGTAAGACACCTAAAAAATTAGCTAGCATTTGTTGCCCTTAACGCAGAGAAACTAAAGCAGATACCTTAAAAGCAACTGAGGCCAATAGGAAAAGGGGACCAGGAACTACAGAAAAGGTTAGATCAAAAAGAATTAACCTAGAAGGTAACACCCACACACAGGAAATCAATGTGAGTCAATGCCCTGTATAGCTATCCTTATCTCAACCAGCAAAAACCCTTGTTCCTTCCTATTATTGCTTGTACTCTCTCTACAACAAAATTAGAAATAAGTGCAAAATAGTTTCTGCTGGGTATTGGGGGGGGAGTGGGTGGTAAGGGAGGGGGTGGGGGCAGGGGGGAGAAATGAACCAAGCCTTGTATGCACATATGAGTAATAAAAGAAAAAGGAAAAAAAAAAAAGAGCCACCTGAGTTAGAAAGCAGTAGAACAATGGAACTCCAGAACTATAGAACTTTGCCTAGTGTGATACCGTGGCTTTTTAAGAAGGTTTGGGGGCATTTGTGTAGCTGAGGAATACATGCTGGGAGGCTGGCCTGAGGACATACACCTTCAGCTCCATCACCAGTTTTGCCATCTGCTGTGAGGAGGTGTGATCAAATGACCATCCATATGAATATTACCAAAATTCATATTGGCGATGCCCTGGATTAAGGGGAAATATTCCTGAGTCACAGCTCTATTATTTACTGCCTGACTTTGAAAAGAAAATGCAACAGATATTCATACAGGTTAAGAATTCCATCCAAAGTGACAGTCATTAGAAACAGTAGTTAATATTCTAGTTGGGATCAAATAACTGGATAATGGTAGTATTCAAATGTTTCTATAAATTAATCTCTCTGAGCTTCAGCTTCCGTGATAATAGTTTTACCTTGAAATTAATGAATACTTGCAATTGTTCATTTACCCTCTATATAAAGAAGCAGAGAACATACTTGCAGATACATGAGCATTCCAGAGACTCAAGTTTAAATGGTACCTCTTCCCTATTAGCTGCTGTTACTATTATATAAAGGCCAAGGTACAATCTATAAAAAAGGAAGAAAAGAAAAGAAGAAGAAGAAAGAAAAGGAGGAGGAGGAGGAGGAAGAAGAAGAAGAAAAAGAAGAAGGACAGAAAGAAAGAAATCTGTTATTAAACTGTCTTTGCTCCATAACTTCTGAAATTAGATACTTTGGGGGTTAGAATTAAAACAGACCAGTAGTTGATTATCTACTCTGTGACAAACATGCTAGTCCTTTACATTTAATATCTACTTATGAGAACTACTGAACTACTTGTGTTTTCTCAATCTTCTGTAAAGAGGCAGAAGATCTATTAAAAACTACAATTTGAAAATTACTCTACAGCCAAAAATAGTTCACCATTCCTTAACATCTAGTCTGTCCTTTTTCCATATTCAGAGAATTTCAGTTTTTAGCTGGGCACATGGTCATCTGGCATACTTCACTTGATGCTAAATATGGTCATATGTCTAATTTTTGGCTCCAGAAAGTATCCTTAAAAGGGAAAACTTCTAATTCACCTCCTTTACCCATACACCTCCTGCCTGCTCTGTGAGGCACACATGTAATAGCTGAGTTCCAGCTGCAATCATGGCCTATAAGGTGTCCTTAGGGACAGGAATGTGCACAACAGAGCAGAGCAGTAATACTGAAGAAAACTGAAACTTTGTCATGGAAGACCACACTAGTCCTGGCCTAACAACCTTCCCATTTCTTGAATATGAGAAGTAAATTGGTATCTTTTCCAAACTGATACAGTTTAGAACTAGTAGCAGCTGAACCTATTCATAAGTGAAACCCGTTGTTAACAGAAGACTGACTACACCACAGTGGTTTGATTTTCCATTTTGAGTTTTCAAGTCTTCGTGTATTGACTGTGTATTAAATGAATTTCCATATAAATTGGCTTTTAAAATATTAGAAACAGATGTTTTTCTGGATCCATTAAATTAAAACACCCTGCTATGACATTCATCAAGAATATAACCCAGAAGTAATTGCTTAAGACTTGATGGGTTATAATTAAAATTTAAAAGAAATATGAAAAACTGCCAAACTGCCAAACAGTGTTGTCAGAGAGAGCTGATTTCAAGTAATTCAGAATGAAAACCCAATTGGATCAAAACTACATGTTAACCTAGATACTGATATTAGTATCTCCAGTATCAATGCTGAAACCTGATACTGTTAATGTTAGGGCAGTGGAGAGCTCAATGGCAAAGCATTCTGGGATAAGGTTTGCTCAAGCAGTGAGAAAGCTGGGGGGTCCATTTTGCTTACAATACTTCACCCTTCCATGGAAGAGCCAGAAAGGTTGTTGAACTGTCTTTTGTGAACCAGCTTTTCTATGTGCTATTAGTACAGTGCAATCCCCAACTCTGTAAAAGCTTTATAAGAACACACGTGCACATGCACATGCACACATATACACACCCCCCAACAAAACAAGAAACACCAAGCTGGGTGTAGCTTGCTGCCTATAATACAGCTACTTGGACACTGACATCAGGAAGATCGTGAATTAAGGTCACCCTGGAAAAATAACCATAGCAAAATGGATTGGAGGTAGGACTGAAGTAGTAAAGTACCTGCTTTGCAAGCATGAAGCCCGGAGCTCAAACCCCAGTCACCCCTGCTAAAAAAAAAAAAAAAAAAAAAAAACCCACCAATCAACCTTAAAAATCTGTTCAAAGCTGTTGGAATTTCTTATCTTCATAGCAATAAACCTATTAACCTGCAGCAGTCACCTAAGATACTATGTTTACCTCTCACAAAATGAGGGCTTGAACCAAAAATCGTATGTTCTCCCTCATATGTGGACATTAGATCAAGGGCAAACACAACAAGGGGATTGGACTATGAGCACATGATAAAAGCGAGAGCACACAAGGGAGGGGTGAGGATAGGTAAGACACCTAAAAAACTAGCTAGCATTTGTTGCCCTTAATGCAGAGAAACTAAAGCAGATACCTTAAAGCAACTGAGGCCAATAGGAAAAGGGGACCAGGAACTAGAGAAAAGGTTAGATTAAAAAGAATTAACCTAGAAGGTAACACCCACGCACAGGAAATCAATGTGAGT